ACTCCTTTGTTTCTGTTATTAAAGAGTTTATCGTGTTTTCTGTTGTTTATTTCTGATCCTTTGTTTCTGTTATTAAAGAGTTTATCATGTTTTCTGATATGTATTGCTTCTCTTATTTTCTAGTTATTTTCTGTATCAATAACTTTTTCTTCTGGCATATGGTATGTCCCATTTCTGTTGTGTGATCTGCAATGGCTGATGTTTCTTGTTTTCATTGTTCCTATAGCTTCTTTATATTCTTTCAAATGTTTCCCCAAGTGTCTACCTGTCTCTCCGATGTATTTTGTTGTAAATTATAGTCTATTTTGTTTGTCCAATGAGAAAGTAGGTTGGTATTTATGTAAGCTTTACTGGAAAAGACATTCTTTAATCTTCCTTATGAAAAAGAAAACTTTCTTATTTGCAAAAGAACTATTTTCTTAAGTGTAGAAATATTCAGAAATACATGAGAGCTTCATAAAGCTGTTCATAACCTACCTCACCAACCAACAACGTTGTTCAAACATAATATTCAAGGTAAGATATCCAACAGTAAAAACGTTGTAGATTATTCCCCCTTGCCAACCATTTCTCAAACAACTTTTTTTACTTTAACATTTTACCTGTGCTGAAAGAACAACAAACTTGCGGGGAAGTTCTGCATGCTGACTGACCACCAGTGGGGGCTCTGATGGCAAAATCACATTGTTGATGTTCAGGGTACAGAGCGGCTTGGGGGGTTGGAACTGAAGGACCTCGGTCATGCACCACGTTTTGCCATCCACAGGAATCACAGTCTGTCAATGTATAATTAAGGCATATTTCATCAAATAAGGATTTGAACAGAAATATTTTAGAGTTATAGGTATGTTTTTTATATTTAAAACAAGTTATGTTTAACTCTACGGCACGAGGATGAGTGCATCTTACCCCAAAGGTAAAAATTGTATCATTGAATTAAAAAATTATAGAGCATAAACTTGTAGTCCTTCTTCCATACATTAAAAAAATTCATTCAATTAAAAATTTTATACAGAAAAATAAAAATCACAGATATTGATTTTGTGTTTATTTCAGCAAACTGTAAAACATTTGTGAATTATTTCTGAGTGTAATATGGCATTAATACCTCTCTAGAAGAAAAACTGAAATATTTTTGAACAAAATATTATTACTTTGAACTCTGTAACTGTCATGGTGTGATATAACTGCCTGTAACTCACCTAAACACATAATGAAAGCTCTTTACTGCATTTTCTCAACTATATAAGCAAGTATGGCTTCCAGATCAGTGGAGATTTGCATAGAGATTCAAATAAAGTGACAAGTTGCTAGAAGGAAAGATGATTTGAAACAACTCCTGATGAAAGGAAAGATGTTTCTAAAAAACTTCTGATAGAAGGAAAGATGTTTCTAAACAACTTCTGATAGAAGGAAAGATGTTTCTAAACAACTTCTGATAGAAGAATAGATTTCCTTAAACAACTCCTGATGAAAGGAAAGATGTTTCTAAACAACTCCTGATGAAAGGAAAGATGTTTCTAAACAACTCCTGATAGAAGAAAAGATGTTTCTAAACAACTTCTGATAGAAGGAAAGATGTTTCTAAACAACTTCTGATAGAAGAATAGATTTCCTTAAACAACTCCTGATGAAAGGAAAGATGTTTCTAAAAAACTTCTAATGAAGGGAAAGATGTTTGTAAACAACTTCTGACAGAAGAAAAGATATCCTTAAACAACTACTGCTGAAAGGAAAGATGTTTCTAAACAACTCCTGATGAAAGGAAAGATGTTTCTGAACAACTTCTGATAGAAGAATAGATTTCCTTAAACAACTTCTGATGAAAGTAAAGATGTTTGTAAACAACTTCTGATAGAAGGAAAGATGATTTGAAACAACTCCTGATGAAAGGAAAGATGTTTCTAAAAAACTTCTGATAGAAGGAAAGATGTTTGTAAACAACTTCTGATAGAAGGAAAGATGATTTGAAACAACTTCTGATAGAAGGAAAGATGTTTCTAAAAAACTTCTGATAGAAGGAAAGATGTTTGTAAACAACTTCTGATAGAAGAAAAGATTTCCTTAAACAACTTCTGATGAAAGGAAAGATGTTTCTAAACAACTTCTGATAGAAGGAAAGATGTTTGTAAACAACTTCTGATGAAAGGAAAGATGTTTCTAAACAACTTCTAATAGAAGGAAAGATGTTCCTAAACAACTTCTGATAGAAGGAAAGATGTTTCTAAACAACTTCTGATGAAAGGAAAGATGTTTCTAAACAACTTCTGATAGAAGAAAAGATGTTTCTAAACAACTTCTGATAGAAGGAAAGATGTTTCTAAACAACTTCTGATAGAAGAATAGATGTTTCTAAACAAATTCTGATGAAAGGCAAGATGTTTTTAAACAACTTCTGATGAAAGGAAAGATGTTTTAAACAACTTCTGATGAAAGGAAAGATGTTTTAAACAACTTCTGATAGAAGAAAAGATGTTTCTAAACAACTTCTGATGAAAGGAAAGATGTTTGTAAACAACTTCTGATAGAAGAAAGATGTTTCTAAACAACTTCTGATAGAAGGAAATATGTTTCTAAACAACTTCTGATAGAAGGAAATATGTTTCTAAACAACTTCTGATAGAAGAAAAGATGTTTTTAAACAACTTCTGATAGAAGAATAGATTTCCTTAAACAACTTCTGATGAAAGGAAAGATGTTTCTAAACAACTTCTGATGAAAGGAAAGATGTTTCTAAACAACTTCTGATGAAAGGAAAGATGTTTGTAAACAACTTCTGATGAAAGGAAAGATGTTTGTAAACAACTTCTGATAGAAGAAA